CTTATTGGCGGCAGTGCTACACTTTTCCCTCAGCAGTCATTTTGCTAATTTTCATACTTAATCAGACTGTCAAATTTCATTGACCTCTTTTTTCTTTTTTATTAACAGCAAAATAAAGCCTTTTGATTAAGTAACATTATGACAGGCTGACTTCCATACCTGATTCTTCTTCAGTCAAATATTTGTAAAATTATTTGTATGATTACCATATTAAATAAATATTCTCAAAAATAATTAAAAACTATTTTTTGAATAACAAATGTCCTCTTAATGATGGTTCCTCATGTTACAATTTACAATGCATTTTGTTAACATTTTAGGTCATTTATGCTGCACATCATTAAATATTTTCTACTTATATGTTGTGTTAACGAACAAGCACTTTTTTTATATTCTTAGTATGTAGAGAAGTTGTACTGTACATACGTTATCACAGTATTTTTTTTTATAAAATATTTATTTTATTGCAGGGTTACGCAAAAGAATTTTATTTCTTGTTATCGAGCAGTACTTTTTTGGAAAAACATTGTGTTGCTTGGTTGAGCATTTTTGCTGCTGCAGGGCAGTCATTTGACATAATTTTTAAAATATTTATGGGTAACAAACACAAAATCTACGCTATTGTATTACATACAAATAAACTTCATAATTAAACTAATGAAATGTTGACTTGTGATTTACTTTTTCTCAGAATATTTCAACCACGAAATATTTAGAGACCCAACATCAAAAATGCTTACCAATTACAAATTTCAATAAAATCTCTATTAGCTCAACACAATATACATACAGGCTTGCTACTGAACAACAGCCCTTACCTTAAAAACTACCCTCACAACCCCACCTATAAAACATAGGTTTTAAGAAAGAAAACGGTGATAGGATGCAGAGTAAAGAATAGTGAGCAAAGTTTTACCAAAACCTACATAATGAGAAGCATCACAGATGTTCTACACTGCAATAAGGAGATGCAAGGAGTGTAATTCACTCACAATGATGGTAATAATTCAATAAACAGAGGTATAGGTCAGTGGGCTGGTACTTCTCATTTAAAACATCTCATTAAGATCAACTCTAATTATTTCAAAAAGTTTTTGAAACACTTCTGATTTACAATTTTCATCAATATCAATTCTTTTAGGATCATACATATCAGAATGGTATCATAAAGTGAAAGTGTAAAATATATAATGGTTGTCATTGAATATTACAACTAGTATAATATAAAAAAAAAATACTTAAAAATTTGTTTGACCCTCACAGTGGTGGAGCCTCTTGCCTAACTCTTGGTCAGTGTTCTTGTTTTCCACTTCGTGGCCCCGGGTTTGATTCCCGGTCAGGCAAGTTTATAATGTGTGTTTTCCTTGTCCCAGTATATGTTGCTGTGTGATAAGAAAATTCACTTCTCAGGTTGAGAAGATTGGAATATGGCATGGGGATGTCTATGCGCTAACCACACATACCCCCTGAACCCATGGCCGCAAAGCACGGGCATGAGGCCTGAGCCCATTCATGGGCCGTGGTGCCAAGTACATACATACTAAGAATGGTGAAGTTGTATCTTTTTCAATTTTTATCTTCAGAAAATAACATTAATATAAAATTATCAGTTGTATCTGGAAGAAAGTCAAATAGTTTCTCTCTTTCAACAAATTTGTTAATGTTAAAGGACAAAGATTAAAATAGTATGTCAACAAATTATCTCACTATGATACTACATCTCACAAAAATACTACAAGTCACTTATAAACTATGTTTATAACAGCTGAATTCATGAGACAAGATGAAGTTGCAATTACTTCTCGTAACACTACTTCTTTGGAATATTCCTTCACATTCATTATACAAAATTTATGAAGATTGTGTAACATTTCTGTATTAAGGACAATAATGTATTCCTATCTCTTCTTGGATTTTACTCCATGGAATGTTCACAATTCAAGAAATATTCCTACTTTGGAGGATGCAGATACTAAATAAACAATTCAAAGATACATCCCAAAGGCACACATGGATTTTTTACATCCAAATCAACAAATAAAATAATGATTGGAGAAATAATTATTGACACATTAATTAATCCAAGAATTCTGTTTTTTTAAAACAAATATTTATGTAATAGTAACTGTAACTTCCAATACATCCCAAGAAAAATTATTGATATTTGTAAAACTGAATGGCTAAATATACATCTCAAAAACAAAAATCAAAGGGTTGTGCATAAATTATGTAACCCAAAAGAAGGGATCTGAAGCAGTGTTACGTGGCATTACATAGTAGTATGGGGGTATTAGTTAAGTATTAGGTAACGTTGATATTAATTTTTTTTTTCCTTTTCCAACATTTGCTAAAATAATTCCTTTTTTAATTCCTGTACTAAAACATTAAAATACTAATTAATTTGTTTTAAAAACAAAACAGTAACAATAAATGTAATATTTTTTCAACATCTTTTTTTGCATCTCTATGATTACGAAGAAAATATTCAAAACTGATATGAAGTATATTCAGGAATCCATTTAAATTGGCGCTGTAGGCTCTCGCTCTTACATCGTCCCCGCCTGCCTGTGCACAGCTTGGGATCAACCATTTCTCGCCCAAGCATTCCTTCTTCACTTGCAACTTGTCCCAGACTTATTGTTAAGTGCACTCAGCATTGCCAACTAATTTCTACTTTAATTTTCATTAATTACTTTAATATACAACACAAGTAAAATAAAGACAAATTGTTTTTACTGTGCTATAATCTATTTTCAATTCTTGCACTTACAAGGGGCGCAGGGAGTTGTTGCAAGCATTACATAATTATTTAGGGAGCAGGGGGAGGTTCAAGAGCATGTTATGGATGCATTATAAGGGGGAGAGGGGGTATTGTAAATACTCCAAATTTGCATTACGTAATTTATGAACAGCCACCAGCACTAAAAACATTTTAAAAAAAATTCAGTGATCTTACAAGTTATCCAGTAAGTAATAAAACGCTTAATCAGCATTCCAGCTGATAAGAATTAAAAAATATTTCGATAGTGATAAAACTGCACAGCTTGAGCAAAATCCATGTGATGACAAAGATTTTTTAACAGTCAAAAGAATATGAACTTCAAATTCATGGCATTCCTGTTTCCTAAAATGATAATAATTACAAGGTGAATTTCATTTTCTTAATAAAATTCCAGAAGTAAGCTCATGTAAGTAAAGCAAATCATCTAGGACATAATAAATGTGATGGAGGCAAGGAAGAGAAAAAAATCAAGGCATACATATTGAAAAAAAGCACAGAAATATATTCAATATAAATGTCTTGATACATTTCATGCAAGTTGAAACATTTATTGTTTTAAAGAAACAAAAACATACATAATGCAAACATTAAACAATTATCATTACTAAATTGGAACATCCAATGAAAATTATTATAGAACACTGCTCATGACTGCAAGAGTTTAAACTAGTTACAATGGCTCACTGAAACTATGAGATATCATTTTGTTCTTTTGCTTAAATTTATTGCAGCAATAAACACAATTACTATTATCCTTCATATTTTATGATAAATGATTATGATTTGTAGGAAGGAATTACTCCTCGCCGACTCCAAATACACTAAAATATTGAAAACGGGTAATTAATAAACAAGTTAAATAATATCAATCCATTTGATATTGATTATTTAATAAATTCATTCATCGAATGATTAAATTCAAATTGATGAAATCACTGTATCACTGGTATGTCGTTAATGTAAATATTAAAATATTGGAACTAAAATAAATGTTCTGTTTGAAGTTTTTGACAAATACTTTGAAAGTGCAGGTATAAGGTAATTTCTTCTTCTAATGTGAAGCATTTATCTAGCATAAATTTTGCCATATTTGTCTGGCCCAGTTTAAAAGAATAAACATGACAAACATCAAATGTTTACTGCCTTCCACAAAAGTAAAAAATAAACAATGGTCAATACCATCTGCAATCATGTGTGCAAATACAGGGCATGCCTTGTAACTATTAAGGCAAAATGCATGGAAAGCATTAAGTAAAAAAAATAATAAAATACAAAAGAAGACAAAAGTTCAGTTCAACAAACCCACCAAATTAATTTGTTTTAAAACGTTTATTAATCATAGGGGTTTCAAAGCATATAATGTAAACAGCTGTACATTTATGTGATGTGCCACAGAATTAGGAGAGAGAATTAAAAGAAAGTCACAGAGTCTCCTATATTGCACATTACAATAACATTTAATCCTACAAATTCAACACTGAACATCCTACATTCATTAACTAGTCATTTCAAATTAACATTAAAGGAACTTTCCAATCAAAAATATGAAATTGCTCCATTCAACATCATTTATTAATAAAACATTTTTAAGTACTTTTATAACCTTCAATATACAACACTGCAATTAATTTGCATTTTTACCGCTTTGGTTTTTACTTACTAGGTGAAAAAATAAAAAAATATCTTACCTTTTTGGCAACTTTTTTTAATGCAGAAAAACCCTATGATCTCTGGTATGTTTATGTTAATGAACAATTCTTTTAGATGAGATCTTCCTAGTTGGTGAATTCCAATATCATCACAATCTAAATGGAATGCCACAAACTACTATCACAAATGAGAATGATATGACTAATGTGAACATAGGTTTATTCTGCATTAATATAATAAAAATAAAGTTTTACACATTTACTTCAAGCACAGTGAACTCCTACAATAATCTCACAAATCGATTCATTCAACAATACAATAATTAACACACATTAATAATTCTCACTCCCAAACACATTTATATAAAATTTAAAATTCAGGAAGATACTTCTCTTTGCATCAATGTATCTTGTCTCCTAAAAACAGTCTTAGTCAGCACCTCTCCTCTTGTATTTTAACACAGGAGTTTTGGTCAGAATTTTTAGTCTTATGTAAAAGTGGTACTCAGTAGTATACTTCTCTTGTTAGAAAGCACACCCAGATCTTTTAACAAAAGACCATTTGAATTTTATTCAATCTTCAAAGAAGCTTGTGTCAGTTCATTTCCACGACTTCCATCTTCATCTTTGAACTCTTCAGTCTTTGGTTCAGATTTCCCAACTTGTAAAGTTTTCCCATTTGCAGGAAAAATACTGCTAGTAGAATCATTTGGATGTTCATCAATATCCAAAGGTTCAGATTTAATTGTCACAAACGGTAAAGTTATTGACATTCCTGCTCTTGACAGTTCTCGAGGATTTTGAATCTCTTTGGAACTGTGTGCCTCAGTGGCTTCACATTCAGTTTCAGGTTGAGGCTCAAGCGATGCTTCTGCTCGAGACCCTGTATCAGACAAGTTGCCTCTTGTGGCTGAAGGCTCCACAGTCAAGGCACAAACTTTCTCAGCACTAAAAGATTCTGTCCGTTTTCTGAATGTGGCAACAGCATCTGCAAACACATCACTGAAATTTGAATCTTCTGGAATAGTAAACTTAGATTTGAATTTATCATACAAAGCATCACACATGTTTCTTATTTGAAGGGCTTCAGACTTAAACTTGTTCTCTTCAGCTTCTGTTAAGTTCCATGCACCAGGATTACCTACATAGCGTCTTAGTTTTCTAATAGTATACACAACATTTGGATGTTTCTTTAGCATGAGTGGCTCAATCCGAAGTTTACTCAGATGATTAAGAAGATTCACACCTTCAGTAGAATTAGCTTTATCAATACCAAGGCAATTTCTGAGTTTACTTTCTGTTTCCAACATACTTGCTTCAATTCGGAACCAAGTAAGCTTTGCCCTTTTAATTCTCTCCTCATCTGACAATCCATTTCTTTCTTGAACATTAGCAACGTCTTGAGGTGGACGATTTTCTTGAACTGAATTATTTAATGCTGCAGGGGTTTTGACACTTAATCGAGCAGGTTTTTGAGTATCCACACTTGTTGTGGGCACTGACTGCCTTCGCAGCGGAAGTTTTTTATTGGTCGAATCAACATTTGATTTCTGAGCTGTGTCACCATCAGCACTTGAAGATGGTTCACTGTCTTCATCAGCAAACTTTTTAGGCTTGATTTTTCGCCCACTTCGACTGACTATTTCTGGCTTGGTTGCGGAGCCATTAACAGTTTTGTTATCTGAACTTAAAACAGGTGCATCTCTCTGAGGAACAGACCCTCTTTTCCAACGTTTCAGTGGTGGGACAGGTGTATGTTTAGCAGACTTGGAATCACTGTCATCAGTAGGTTTATCATCTGTATGCTCAACTCCATTCTCTCGTTTTCGTTTCAATCCTGTTTTCTTTCCGTTATTATGCTTTGTGGCAGTACCTGGTTCTTCATCAATAACCAATTTATCCTCTCCATCATCGCTCTCATGTTCGTTTTTCTGTGTGTTTTGATTAACAGCTCTACTACGTAATAAATTTTCAACTTCAGCAAGTGCTTCTAGGAAGCCTTTTCGTTTGATTGGTTTTCCATACTTTTCTTTGTATTCTTCAAATTCGAACAAATCTTCGACTTTGCACACGGCGGTTTCTGATGTTCCATAAAAATATACATGATACTTACTTTTATTTGACGGTCCACTAACTACTTTATCTACTCTTGCGGGCCATGCTGGGTACCCTCGAACTTTCGCGAATACCGTATCACCCACACTGAATACTTTTGTCATTTTGTGTGCGTTTAATGACTGACAGTAATAAAATTCACTAGAAGTCACTGTTCGCAAACAAGTCACCTGCCCTTGCTTTACGCGACTCTCCAATAACACTTATAATTAATTTTCTTGACAAAATTCGAAACGATTATTGCAGTCTTCACATTATATAAAATACCGGCAAATTCTACACCACTGACATGGCCAAGACATCTAATAATTCTCATAAGCGCACCGCCTTGCAGAAATTACCCACACTCCTCTTTACTCCGTTGCCCTGGAGACCATGGAAGATCATGTTATTACCAACGTTACAAAATTCATAAAATTGACAGATCAAATCAAAAGCAAGAGAGGTTGCTCAATGAAGTGTAAAAATCGAAAGTTCTATATTGATTAGAATGTCAAGCACTCTTGCAAATCCACTAGTTTTGGCACAGGATTATCAATATGAAGTTCAAGGTAAATAAAAGAAAATTGTGTTTTCATTAACAGCAAAGCCAGACATTTAGTCAAATACTTCGCGAAAATCGCATGGGCAGGTTTCTTGCATTGGTTACATATAAACGGCGCGACATTCGACACCACAACTGTCAAACCAAGATATTTTGACCATTTGCATACGCAACTTTTTTATTCTTCCATACGATGAACCAAATCTGATATAAACAATTTTATTTTTCTTTATAACAACAACAACAATAATAATAATAATAATAATAATAATAATAATAATAATAATAATAATAATA